CTCAAAGTCTAAAGAGTAATCATGTTTTGAGGTATGATACAAATGACTGAAATACTGAGCGAGACTGGATGGGAGCTACTTTTATTTTAGTACACAGGATGCTATTTTTGTAGTGATGTGGTAAGATTAACCTTGAGACAATAAGATATCAGAGCTTTTTTTTTTCTCAATAGGTTATTTAGAATTGTTTTGTTTTGAACAGGATTAAACAATTGCTTTCAATTATACTTTTTTAATAGCAAAGGTGTCAGAGTTTTTGAGGTTTGCAAATGTCATTAATTACATAAGCAGACAATTAATTCTAATAATTATTATACTACATTTTTTATTTTTAGTCTTCAACTTTGTAAACTTCTGAAGCAGTAACGTATGAGGTATTTGTTTCCCCCTTGGGATGAGTAAAGTATTTTTATATGAATTTAGACTGAGGTTTTTATCCAGTCAAGTTTTGTAGCTTCTATGTTTCTCAGATGAACGCAGGTAGGGAATGTGTTAGCTTAGAAAGAAAGACTCCCATCAATATTTGTGATAATCAGTCTTTCACATCACTGTGTAGGATATTTTGCACCATTCTTTTTTTCTTTGTTTTTTGCAATTTTTTTACATTTTTTAATTTAAATTTAAATGAGCGACGATAGACTGTCTTTCAACATTAATTGAGTCAACCCCAGTCTGAACAATTAAATTTAAGTTCAGACATACCTAGGCTACTCTAAAAGCATAATTCTTTGAGTCTTTTTGAGGTAGACCTGCATAACCCAAGTGCGCTTTCTGAAGCAGCAAAGCAGCCTCAGACCATGACACTACCCTTATTGTTTGACTACTGTTATGTTATTTTTTTTTTCTTAAGAGCGAAGTGGAAACACGTCTTCTGATATTTACATAAATATATATAGTCATCCCTGTGTCTCATGAGGTTACGATAGATTTTCCTGTAGGTCTTGGGAAGAATTGAAATTGTTTTGAAAAAAAAAAAAAAAGAAAATGTCCTTTGTGTCCTTTTTGGTCAACAGTAGCTTTTGAATTGGACATTTTCCATGGATGCCATTTTTGCCTCATCTCTCCTTGTGGAATCATAAATACGGTGAGACCTGCAGTGCTTGAGATGTTGTCCTGGGTTCTTTACTGACCCTCTGAAAGATTCATTAGCGAGTTTTTGTGACATTTTTGGTCTGCCATTGATTCCTGGGACAGGCCATAACTTAAAAAAACATCTCTAACTTTCGGTTGGTGGCATTCTCCAACCCCTTTAGACCAACAGATGTCAGTGACTTTTTATTTCCAGGCATAAAATGTTATTTGACTGACAGGTTTTATTTAAGGTCTTACACAAATCAGTAATTGTCTATAAACAATTAAATTGGATGTGACAAAAAAGAAAAAAAAAAAACATGTTTTTCACAGCGCCATAATCAATGACTTTCTTTCTTCAAAGAGTTGGTTCACACCAGGAGTAATAAAAGAGATGGGTAACATTGGTCACTTCTTAAACCTGGTAGCAGAACTGAGATCAGAAGATATAACAGAAGACATTCGACTATATATGGATTCATTATATAAAAAATAAATTGAAAATTGACCAATACATCACTATCTATCATTTACATTATCAATTTCCAGACATATTCGCCTATTTATTTATTTATTTGTTTATGTATTGGTCAGCATTTCTTAATGAAAGAGTTTAACATAAAAAATATCGGCTGGTGGGGTACATTAAAACACAAAGGATCATTTTGTTGACAAAAACAAACTAAAAAAAAAAAAAGAGAGAGAGAGGGCACTTGTAACCTGATCGACTGGCGAGAAGAGCGCAGAGGCAGACTGTCCACACGGTGTGATCCGTTTCTATGTGTTAGACCAACATCCCAGAATAGCAACGCGTGCGGCCACCGAGCGAGGAGATGGAGGAGGAAGTGGCGGATTTAACAACTGTTGCTTTTGCTGCTGCTGCTGCTGCTGCTGCTGCGGAACCAACTACCTCTCAGTCCGGGCGGCATGGTGAATATCGGACAAGAATAAATTGTATTTTAGACTGTCATTGTGGATCAGAGTGCAAGTCCACGGGAATATTAAAAAAGTCCTTCCTATTTAAGGTAATTTAATAAAACAAAAAAACCCAAACAGACAAGGCTAGAGACAATTACGAACGCGTATCGGTTTCCTGCTTTTAACGGAGAAATGTGCTCGCCTGTCCAGTCAGTGTCTGTCTTGCGACTGTATTATTGGCCACAGACGCTTGAGAGCTGCTGGCGGCGCATGTCTGCAGCAAAAAAAGCAGACAAGGAGCGTCTGTGTGATGAATGGAAAAGCAGACCTGCTCTGCTGTAAGACAGCGGTGATCGGATAACCTGTTGAACTGCAGCTGTCAGTCAGCTCCCAAGTCATGCCGGAATCACAGGCAGAAAGAAAGACAGAAAAAAAAAAACATTGAACAAGAGAAACACGCGTTACTTCAATGGCAACAAAAGTGGCCTTATACGCTGCTGGTAGCTAAAGAGCTTTTCTTCAGGTAAACAAATTCTGTCCTTAATATTTATGCTTAAACACCGTTCAACAATGCCTATGCTTTTTTTTTTTTTTTTTTTTTGCCTGTGGATACAATTGTTGATTGCGATTGGTTTTCAATAAGCACCATCCACACTAGGAAATTGTAAGTGGCATAGGCCTATAGTCTTCAATTAGGAAAGGAAAGTTAAATCATTTTTTATTGCTGTGATGGGGAAGTGAGTTGCTTTGTGACTGTGATGTTTTCAAAAGTGATGTCCACGAGTTTGCACTGCCATTAGGCTACATCACATTCTCTCTTCAGGAGCAATTAAAAATGCTTGCGACTCTACCGGTTCGACCTTGAGTCACATCTCCACAGCAGCTTTTCAGCATTGCCTGCCCACGGATTTCCAGTGCCTGGGTTGTTGAAAATAGCTTGGTTGCTGCCTGTCGCTATGGCTAATTCCTTAGGAACCGGTGGATCCAGTTTGATCCATCCCTCTCTCTTTCGCTCCCTTTACCAACTTGTTGAGTCTTCCCTTTTCTTTGTTCGCGCTGTAAACGTTCACCATGGAACCGTTCGGTCATAAGCCGCGTCACTTTTTTTTTTTTTTTTTTTTTTTTTTTGTTCGTCTTAACGATCTGCTGAAGTTCGAGCTGAGTTGAATGTACATGTCGATAAGACGGCGTTGGTGTCGCTTTTAAAGTGGAAAACTCGACAGGGAGGAGGGGGCACGCACTTTAGAGGCTTTCACACAAGCGACAGTCACCTGTAGGAGACTGCAGATGCGCACCTCTTGAACTTTTCGCTGCCTTCCTGAGCTTGAGCTTTAGAGCTGTTTTCTTATCGGATGGTTACATGTTGATCTGGAGGAAAAAAGTTTCTGTATCTTCCTGAAACGTTCCTGGATAAATTAGGTAAAGTTGAACTTTACAATTTATTTTTATTTTTATTCATTTGTAGGGAGGTGGAGACAACGTACCACCACCCCTCCCTCTAGCTTTCTCTACATTACTTTTTTTTGTGCATAGTGGAGCCACTTACTTGAACGCAATCCTGTGAACCCAACTCTTTATTTATTGCATGCTTCTGCTTTAAACTTTCAGTTTTCCTGTCATATAAGCGTTTCATGTACAGAAATACGGCGAATCTGAAACTATTTCTTTGCTAAATTGGTGCTTTCACTACACAGCGTCGCTGTTTATGTGAAACTCGCTCAAACTATGAGAAAAATTACAAATGGTTCATCTGTGTCAAACATGAGATTGCTCCTAGAAAAGCAAGAAAATGTGTAAGTTGTGAATCATTCAGTCCTCACTTAGATGTCGTCATGTTGTTTTCTTCTAATTAATAAATGGTTATGTTTTTATGTCCTTCAAGGAAGCCAGTAGTAATGCTGTGATGCAGTACAAATTGGTTATGGAGGCCAGAAAAATTATAATTAAGAAACACAACTTTCTTATGATAATTGTGTGAGGAAATTCTTATCAACGCATTCGACTGGTTTCCTTACTGTAAGAGCTGAGTGATTAGTGCATTTCTTTGACTTTAAATTTTATGGTTTATTACTAAAAAGCAATAGTGTTTTTTGAGTCTAATAATGTATTTACAGATTTTTATAATAAATTCTATAAATGATGTTTGGAGTAATTTGTAAAACTTGCTGCAATTAAGTACAGAGAGGCCTCTTGCAAAACAATTGAATTTCTCATGTCTTAAATAATTTTATTGATGTTGTTGACAGCATGATAAAGTTAAACTCACAGATTTTATGACTTTCCTTCACCTGTTGCTATTTAGGAATTCCATAGTCGGAAAAACATTGATTTGCAGGTTCTCTCCTGTTACTCATCATTTACCTATATTTGCAAAGTTGAATGCATCTTCATCTACATTTTAATCCCAGAATTGCATCAAATATTTATCAGTGACACTTTGTGTATGCATTCATGGAAATTTACAGAAACCGTCATATGGTCAACCAATAACTTAACTAAGGAACATATCTGAGTAACAAACAGGAAATATAATATTTTTTTGTGGGTTCTTTTTCAAGTTTAATGTTGTTCAGACGATGCTTCATTTGTTAACGTGCATTATCGCCTCTCGACCGCAAGAAATTAACAAACCTCCTGCTGATCATTTACACTTGAGATTAGTGTAATTGATACATCTGTTTGTGCAAAATATGCAGAATTGCACTATAAATGGGATTGGATCAGAATGTATGTATCTGAATTGTACTGGATTGATTTAATTATATATTTCTGAAAATGAGTTGAGCCTGTTAATTTTGTAATGTCCTTTGAGATTACCTTTCTCATGAATTGGAACCTTATAAACAAACTGAATTGACCTATAAATTAGATTTTTAAAAATGCAAATGCGTGATTTTTGTATGCAATATTTGTATTCTAAACAAATAGTTTTACATTCTTACAAAAACTGACAATAGCATTTTTGTAAAAATCATCACTAATATTTTAACAGTTTATTTTATATCTTACAGAACCTCTGAAGAAATGGAAATGGAAACGTCTGAAGACTATTCTACTAGTAAGTCCATAAATCATTTATATAACACATTATGATTCTATTCAAATGTCTATTATACATTATGTAGATTATTCTGATTTAGAGCTGATTTGAAAATAAGAACAAAATATATTTGCAATCACAACACGACAAACATTTTAAGGGATTTTCCCCTAAGTGCAGGCTTTTTCCTGTTCAGCCCTAAAGGTAGAGAAAATGATGCATTAGCACATCCTGTTGAATGCAGCAGATGCTGGATATGCGCTTTGTGGTACTCCATTGCCCTTTGTTGGTTTCCTTTGGGTAGGTCTCTGAATTTCTCCACCCCTCCTTGATTTTTGCTTTTGTGTGCATTTTTCAAAAACAGGTAGTATCTTGTTGATGACATCAGTGGGGACTTTTGGGTCTCCATTGGGGGTTTGTGTTTGTAGGAACACTTGGCAGGCGGGCTAGTGGAGGTGGAAGGATAAATGGAGCCTCTTCCTGTCTTCATCCATCTGTGGGTTGATTGTTAAACATGGAACATGAAGCAGTCAGCATGATGGTGGATCATAGCGTACGTTTATAAGAAGCCCAGTAGTTTAGGCCCTGTTTACGCGACAACAATTTCGGGTGAAAACAGAAGAGTTTTGTTGTGTTTGTGGTGTACATTTACATGAAACCACCGAATGTTTTTTTCTGACAACGGCACAATTTGAAAACGGGTTCCAGAGTGCAATGGTTCTAAAACGTACCGGTGTCCCTTGTCTTGTAAACAGAATAAATGGATCTTTTCTGTCAGGGAATCCCTAGCTCATGCATGGTATGACGCAAAACTTAGCTGCTTCCTACAATCCACAGAAGAAGAAGAAGAAGAAACTACTGGCTATGCTGGTGTTACTACAATTCGTGTTTCCCCATCAGATACAGTTTCCCCAGTGTCTCTTCACCACTGCACACTGTCCAGGTGGCAAAATACACGTGTGTTTGTTTAGCGCTCATAACAAGCATCCGCTTGTTAAGCGCTCTTATCTCGAAAACTACGGACACTATGAAAACTCAAAGAACGTGTTTCAGCAAAGTTATCCCACTTTTTTCCAACTGCACCCTAATCAGACGCACTGTTTCCCCCCAGTATTTGGGAGAACGGTACCTGATGAAGAAAAGTGAACCGACGTGCTTTCAAGGAGAACTTTTTTTTAACACATGCACAATTAGTTTAAAAGAACAAAGAACCGACTATTGGCGTGGCGAAAGCGTTACTCCTTTTCGATGTGCACCGTTACCGTTCTCAGTACACAAAGCATATTATAGAATGTAATATGTCAAATGAGATATTTTATTTTACAACATTACTATTTTCCTACACACTACCACCTTTAGAAATACAGAATTTTTTTCAGCTCTACATTAAATTCAACAACCTATATGTTAACTTTTCAAGGTTGATATCTTCGACACAGGTCAAGTATTTTATTGTAGCTAAATCTCTCTTTCCTGTTATCCATATGGAAACAAAGGGGAAAAAGTAGACACCCTCAAAATGTTTTAGTTATTGCATCTATATCTTTACATTGAGCTCAAACATTATCATGGTTCATTGTATATTTTTGACTTATTTTGCCATTATTCTTCATTGAATAACAATAGGGATGTAGTATAGACATACAATTTCATTACAACACAGTGACAAAATAATCTATGTTGACCAAAGATAGGAAAATCATAATACATAATAAAAAAGAGCATACTTACAAACTTACAAACCAAAGACAGGCACAGCTTTAGATCTGAATTGATCAACTGGTAACGTTATTTGGGGGTTCAGTGCTGCCATCAACCCTGTGCTCTTGTGGATTCAACATTGTGTGGTTTTAATGCAATAATAAGGAATGAAATAATAAAACATTATTTTCAAATTGTTGGCTTTACATCTGACACTGCCTGCTTTCCGCATTCTTTTATTGATGTTCACATGGAACCAACAGGAAAAAGTCATTAAAACAGCAATCCATGAAGATTATGATGATCCAGTGATGTTTCATGATCGAAGTAAAAGGACCACTTGTTTTAATGCAACAAAAGCTTGGGGTTGAACCAATAATCTGAAATTATTAACTTGCATTTAAAAAGGGAAGACAACCTTTGACTTTAAAATGTGAGGAAAATGTAATGCAGCCAGGAACATACTTCACTGCATGGACTTTTAATGACTTTAAAACACAGAAAAGGAATATCTGACAACCATAATTTAAATGATAGTTATGTCTTTTTTAGGAGTTTCTTGGTACCAATTTTTTACCTGAATCAGACAAGGCAGAACAGGTCACTAAATCAGTAAACTAATGTTGAACAGTGCAAACATTTGATTTTCCCACTTTGTAGAGCAAAATTTCCCCGATATTGCAAGGCAGACCGATCCACCATACTGTTTACCTACACTTCCCTGGCAAGACACAAAAGAGAAAAAAAAAAGGAAACAGGACTTTAAATTTGTAGAAACACTTGTGCCCTGATTCTATGTTGAACTGAGTTTTGCTGAAAAGTAGGAACGTTTTAATTTGCATGACAGTAATACATATTGTACAGTACAGAACTATTTTATGCTTGAAGACTTGATTACGTTTACAGTTGACTGGAAGATACATCCTACCACGCTGTGACATGTCTTGATGGGAGTTCAAGAATTGAATCAAACTCAAGCAAGGTCAACAGAGTGGAAATTTGAATGTTTATTTGATCTTTATGTAAGTGATGGTAACATTATCTATGAGTCAGAGTAGCGGAATGAGACATGCAACCAGACGGTGAATATTTAGATATGGGACTCATCATTTTTGGTTTCAATTTCTGATGGCCTTACAGACGGTGTAGAAGATGAACATAAAGATTAAAAAAAAAAAAGTGTAAAGATTGCTATTACATAAACGGGCTATAGATGACTTATAGTATTGTTCTTTGTTCAAATTATAACTAGTGCAGTTAAAGCTTGTTTCTTTCAAAATCTGCTGAATAACCAATTCTTGAGAGTCCAAAAGGCCTTTATTATTTAATCGTTTTCTTTTCTCTTTAGTCAGTCCTTGTTCCAATACTCTTCCTGAAAGTCATGCCTCTGTTTTTGCACTTTTACTCCTGCACTACGCTTTCCCACACTCACACAGAATCATTCTCTTACCTCGTTTGTTTCATCGTCTCACGTGTTGATTTTGTTCTTTTTTTTTTTTTTTTTTTTTTTTTTGCGATTCCTATTACTCGTGGGAATTACTCACACTTTCAACTGTGTTTTGGAGAAATGAATTTACTGTCTTTTTTTTTGTTGCAATTATCAGATCATTAATTATTTGACACACATCCATATATAAATAGAGAACATTAGTTTTTTTGACAAATGGAAATGTGGCTCAGGAGGCAGTATTGACATGTTTATGAAGCAAAGATTTAACAGTAGTTTTCATGCTGCTAAGTTCCATTGCTTTTGAAATCAAGTGTGAGGTTTTGAGGTCATCTTCAGACATTACATTTAAATTACAAAAATTATAATATAAAACTATAAATGTGAAAGATACATTAAAAATCAGTCTTTACCAATAGATATGTGAATTCACACCTGAAAAGTTTAGAATTTGCTGTTAAAAATATATACATCCATCCCCTTTGATGTGGACTTTGGGTTTTATGGCTGCTTGTCCTTTACAGGTGCACAATCTATATATGAAACAGTGAAAAGGGGAAATACCCTAAAATCATGACATGACCTCTTTAATAATAGGTTACATTTTAAGGTGAACCATAGGAAGTTTCTAGGGCTAGTCTCATACACAGATTCAGTTTGTTCCAAAAATAGCAAAACAACTGCTAGGTTTCATCAAATCGGGTGCTCTTCTTGCTATGGAAAAGAATCAGATGGTGTACTCAGGGGCCCCGCCCTGCCAGGAATCTTGGGCGCCATGACAAAAAATTTAATTCGGCCCCCTAATGCAGCTGCTGTTACAATTGTTTGAGTCTATCTGACCCATCAAAAGCGTCACAATTTTAAAGGCTTGAAACGCCCTTGCTTTATTTGGTTCAATACTGATACTAGCAAAATATTTACTGCTCATGAATTTTACATGAAATGTCTTTCCCCATGAGCAACAGGGGATTCCTTCATATACATGAAGGAATCGAGACTTTTCAAAAAATGCTATGTAGTTGCATTTTATTCAAGCTGTAGTATAGAACTTTCATAAAAAAAATATGTTTTCTCCATATTTGTTAAAGCCGGTACCATATTGTGCCAGTTTGTTACGAGACAGATTATCTGTGAAAAGATCAATCTCCTCCACCTCCTGTTTGAACTATTACTAATTAAAGTAATACAATGTTCTGGTCAAAAACAACCAATCAGAACCAGTAGGATGGTCTTAGCACTGTCAATCACTACTCACTACTAAATGTGCTAATGGTGGATAAACAACTTATCGTTATTGCTAGCTACAGCATAGCACAGAGCGAGGGGAGGGAGGGAGCACTTTTTTATAAAAGTGACATACTGCAGCTTTAATTTCATTTAGGAGAGGACAAGTCAGGAGGGACCTGGGTTAGAGTTGCTGCTGACTGACTTATCTGTTGTTAAGTGTGGTAAGAGGTACAGCTACAAGTTAAATATATGAATGGTATTTTTTTTCCTCCATTCATAGAATGCTAGTGAAATGGAGTCAAACAGTAGTCTGTAGCTTAGCTCACTGCTATATGGTTGATAATCTCACACAGTCTACCCACCTCTCTTGGAGAAAAACTGGGTTACAAATTGATGCTCTTGTCTTTTTCTCTCTCAATTTCTCTATTTTTTTGAAAACTTGACTTTATTAATGTTCTTGGTGGCATAGTAACCGTGACAGTCGTTCTTGTCTTCCTTCTGCTGACTGCTGCTGAACACCGTCACCGTCAAGCGCTCCAAGCAGGAATGAACCATTTCATGCAGATCCAGGGGGTTCAATGCAAATATGGATGTCTGCTTTTTGGTGTGGGTGGGGCAACATTTGATTTTTACTGCTAAAAGCTTTTTTAGAAAACACAATATGATTAATTTTGTAATTGACTGAGCCCCATTTTATTATTTTTTTCTATGAAAAAATAAAATACAATAAATAAATTGTGGAGGCCCCCTGTCGGTCGGGGGCCCTTGGAATTGTCATAACTTTTCCGCCTTATGCAGCGCCCCTGGGTGTATTTGTTGATATGTTGTTTGTGGTTTTGAGCCATTTTCCTAACATCTTCTGAGCAGATATAGAGCGACATATTTCCGAAAAGGTACCTATGTTTCATAGACATACGTGTACAGATGCATGATTTTGAAAAGAAGTAGATGTCTTTGCTCTTCCTAGGCTTCTGAAAGGATGACTGGACTTACTATTTGGTGTCAGTAATGAAGTCAGCAAAAATTACACCTACAAGTTTCGTGTGTATACAATGTTTCCTTTCCGTTTGCACATAAAATCGTCCAAATTTAGTGCATTACTCAAATAACCTTTTCCCCAGCAAGCCTTATCTCTTTGTTATTCTGATCTTATGGTTCATTTTGGTTTGACTCAGCAAATGCAGGACACCAACGCAACTTTTTGAGTCAGTCCATAAAACCTTAAGCTTGTGGGCTGTTAATTTTTTAATTATGTTTGATCTTCAGACAGTGAAGCTGATAAAGCTTTTATGGTGCTATGACCAATTACTTTTCTCCTTACAAATTTCTTGTGATTTTGATCTTGTAATGATTTAAAAGATCAAAGTTTTATATCAGAAAAACAAACTGAATAAATTCAATAAGCAGTTTTCAAATTATTCCTTTTTGGCAAAACCTCAGCCTTTACGGAAATATAATCACAGTTATTAACTCTTTTTTAATTCAATTTCAAAAACTTTATCCAATTTCAAAAACTTTATCCAGACCTGGCAAATTAAGAAATCACCTACACAGAACTTCTCTGATGGAATGAGAAAACCATGCCCAAAACTGAAGAAATTAAACACTGGCATTGATTAGTCTGGATGGACTTTGCTGTTTCAGGATCTGCGCAACTTGCTGCAGTTGATGAAAGAATGAATTCTGCACAAAAAAAAAAAAAAAACAAGATCGATCTTGAAGTATGTCACCTTAAGCTTAAGATAAGTTTGTCTGATTCTGATCATTGACCAGATCAATGATGCTGGTGTGCTTTGCAATGCTCACATTGCCTGTGAACATTCACAGTTGTGAACTGTGGCTGAATTAAAGTACTTCTGCTAAGGATGTGGTCCTCTATTCCTATTTAGTACTGTCAAGGTTTCACTGCTATTTATTGTAAATGTCAATGGCAGATGTTGCCCACAGGGGCTACACAACCATTTTTTTAGGTTTTAGGGGCAATTACTTCTCTACATCTAAACAGGTTGGTTGCGATATTTTTTCCGTAATAATCAAAATATTACTTAAATACTGCATTTTGTATTTTTGTCTTGCTGTCAAAACTTATTTAATGATTTAAAGAGGTAAGTGCATCTAAAGAATCAAAAAAGAATAAAAACCAAAAGGGGTGGTGATTATTGAATTTATACGGTGTTGTGTCTACCCAAGCAAGTAAAAATTATTACTGTCAATGATATTCTAGGGACATGAGTCTTAACATGTTCCTGCTTATAGTTATGTAGTAAAAATAAAACTGATTTTTATTGTTCATGCTGAACTCTAAGCTGTTACTATAGACCTGACCCTGCAAAGCCATTGCTATGAGCATCTGTCATCATCTGTTACCAAAAGCTAATGGAAAATCCATCTTGACAAATCTGGGCCACTCGTGGACAGCATTGCCAAGGGATAGCCAGGGTTGGTCACCTGAGATTTCCTCCAAACCCAAACTGTGCAACCTGAGCTTAGGCTGAGGGATTGTATCATGGACAACGTCTCCCAGTATGCCCCACTCAGTGAGGCTGTTGTCAGAGTATACCAAGACCACAAAAGACATTGACAGCAAATATGATCGGTCATTACTAGAGATAACGTAGTGCAGATTCTTTTTGTTCTTATGAAATAAATAATTTCATAAATAGACCAAAATGACATTACAATGAACCCTTTCAGAAGCATCACTGGCTCCTGTATTTCACTTTCTTTTTTTCTTGTTTGTTTTCTATTACTTAGTGCTGTCTGCTAAGACAGGTCTAAAAACTGATGGGCTAACCATGTTTCCTTTGGGATTTGACACCTGGGTCAGAGATAGTGTTCACCTCTTGCCACTGCATTGTTCAAGTGACCCTGACGGGGCTGGCTGTAAGGGGATAAGGGATTGTTGTGCTCTCCCTCTGAGTGGACACTGGGCTATCCATAGCCAGGGTTCTGTACAGACTGCTGAGAGGATGCAATCTGATCTGCATTTGATGGACATCAGGATTCTATTGTTGCATAAAAACAGTGTACTTATGTAAACTGGTGTGCTACATAGACTCTGAGGCAGATCTGGTAAAAATGAGGAATTATCAGACAAATAGAGAGATTTTACAAGGACTCTACCTGTGTACAGGAGAATGTGCTCCTTAACACATTACTACGTAGTCACTTTTCTTGATAGCGCTATCAGCTGAATTGTTTTCACAATAACAAATTAATTACCATTGTTTAGGTAACGGTGTATAAAAATATCCTTTAAAAAAAATTTATTTTGAGCTTCTAAGGACTCAAAATATAAGTGTTTCATAATGATGCAGGCCTTTTTCAAGACCCTGAATTCTCATTTTAACATATAACATGGATTTTCTTTTTCACAAAGCACTGACATCCCTTTTCCTTCTTTTTTTTTTTTTTTAACGTATGCCTTTTTCCATGCTTGGTAAAGATTGCTTTCTCTTTGTTTCCCAGGTAACGGCCAATGCTCTTCCGGCAAAGAGGACTCAAGAATGGCGGTTGATATGTCACCACGTAATGTACTAGCACTTCCCCAGGGTCCTAATTCCCCCAATGGTTAGTAAATATATATACATAATAGTACTACATTCTTTCCAAATGCATTCTATTTACTGACACTGCTGTTGTTGTTTTTGATATGTAGGCCTAATAGTGCAGACTAGATATTCAAAAATTGGCTTTGCGTCATTTTTGCAAATAACATTCAACAAATATGTTGCTTTTTACCTTGGATTGTGTCACTGTAAACTGTATGGCGCATCTTTAAGGTATTAATACCCCTTGAATTTTTGTACATTGTTTCGACATAAAATGTTAATTTATGTATTGGGATTATTGCTTGATAGATCAACACAAAGTAGTGTTTAAATAGAAGAAAGTGTTAACTCGGTTTCAAAGATTGGAAAAGATTGGAAAGTATCTGCAGGCATGTATGCAGTTAATATAATAAAATAGACATTTTACTGTCATTAAGAAAACATATACCAGGTAGCATACACTCCAAATATAATTATGCTTCCTTGACTCCCCATTGGACTATTAAGATTATCAAAAATGAAAGAAATGTATGAAAAATATAAAAAGAAAAATATTCAAATAATGACTCTTTACACAATCGGCAAGGCTTTTTAGTTCAAATAAAATATAAGACAAACATAAATTATTACAGCAAATGGTGTTGCAAAAAACTTCACAGAACAAAAATGAGCCATATTATCTCAGATAATGAACTGTAAAATGCAAACAATTACGTTACATAATATTAACAATTTAGCATGGATACAATAGGCTTTATGAAAACAATATTTGTGCAAAGGTATACCGTACTGAACCTCAGAGTAAAATATAGTCCAGTGTCATTTGGTTCCCGTTAGTGTACTGACCACAAACCTAGATTATCTGTAGCAATGTCACCATGATCAAGCAAATTAAGTAAAGGGGAAACAAAGTAAAATTAAGCAACTATAGAAATATAACAGAAACTTTTCTCACCAGTCTTTAAGAGGGGTGGAGGAGAGCTGGAATTAGGTTTCCCAAAGGAGAAACTGTGTCTTAGTTACCTTTAATGCTGTCCAGCATGTTTTGACATTTGAAGTTTCAGTAGAAAACATTATATACACAGTCAGCAGTAGATAAAAAACAAAAGCCTGTATGACAATTATATATTCTGCCCTCCATTTACTGATGAGTAGAAGAGTAAAATTGCAGTCTTTAGGGTGGATGACAGATTGGATGGGAATGGTGACAGAATGTCTTCTTTATTCATAATGTTTTGATGCTGTCAGTCAAGCACTCAATCAATAATGATCACCCTACCTGTTATTTAGAAATAAATTATTAGGAACTTATGTGAACCATCAACAATACAATATTGAAATTAAAAGAAGTAGTTAAATGTATGTTCATTTACTTACTTCTTTTGTCACATCTAATAAAATCAAAATAATGTCTTCTCCTGACTGCTCTGTACAGTCCAGTCTCTTACATTAGAAAAATGGATGTAGGCACACAGAGCTGAGTAGCAAGGATGTTTAGGTTTTGTCCATGTTGCCATGATCCAGCTATCAAAGATAAGGCTCAGCTTCAACTTGGGCACAAGGATAAGTGAAACATACAGATATTGCTTCTTAATGAAACAAGTTTCCACAGTCCATAAAATAGAATCCCCTAATTTGGACATTTCTTCTGCTAAGCATAAAGTTGTCAGGATTTTTCTTCACAGACTGAGAGGTCGGTTGATGAAAGCAGTCAAATGGAAGGATTTAAGGAAACAACAGCTACACAGACTCTCATTGTGATTATTTCCCCTGTAAGATCCCAAAACAGGATTGTCAGGATCAGTAAGGTGCGGTTTGAGTGTGCTTGAGTTTTTTTTTTTTTTTTTTCCTTGTCCAAACGTAGGGTTCATTTCATATTTTAAAACAGACAACAGTTGTAGTGCTGACTTAAAAAAACAACTAAATATTTAGTTACACAACATGGAAACATGGGAACTGTGTAGTATGGGAACACAGTCAAGTCTACTAGATGAGACAGATCATCAAGTTATGTAATACTGGGAAAATCACTTTTGACTCCAGGGTTTATCACAAATACTAAAATCAGTAGGTCAAAACCAAAATCATTTCTACAGGAATGTTTTTACCACTGTGAAACTGAATCAAAGCAATGAACGGGAGCGAAATGTAATATTCTGGGGAAAAAAAAACTATTGTATGATACTATTTGTTTATCGGTCTATTTATGAAGCTCATAATGGAGGATCAAATGAAACAAGAATTTCAGATCTGTTTATATTTTAGAGATTTGGGTCATTACTGGAATCTGGCAATTTTTTGTTCTTGACAAAAAATCTCCGGAACAACGCCAGTATGCATGAACTGAACTTGAAATTTTCTGCTCATTGATTTGTGGCAGGTTGTGCTTAAGAAACATTGTTCTCTCTGGACATTGTTTCTAATTAAAGAGGGCTCAAAGAAAACCAACAAAAAAACTAATGTAGGATTAATAAATAAAGCTAGGCACAGCTCTATGTTCTTTTGCTATTTTTCAGAAATATCATTTAAAGCTGTTGTAGCCCAAAACTGGAACAAATCTTTGCACAGGCATTTGCACACAAGCACTAACTGTATTGCACAATCTTTTGCCCTTGTCTTCCATTGTATCTCCCATTGGTAGTCAGCAGCCGCCAGTAATGTGCCTCTGACACTCCTTTTCTCCTCAGGGACAGCTTGAAACCAGACCATCCTGTTTAGTTTTTTTTCTTTGATTTGACTCAGTCCGCTCCATTCTTGGTATCAGATCATCCTATTCTGTACATTACTATATATTACATTATTATGCCCCCTTAAACATTTAATGTATATTGTTAAATTTGTTTTATCATATCACAAAAACTTTAAACCATTAGACTTATTCAACATTTTGGCCATTTAGAGTTCTCTAACCTAAATCAAATGACGTTGTATGTTCATGCAATACAAAGGCCACTTTGTGAGATAATGTAAATGATTCTTGTAATTATTGCATGATCACATCATCTTACGGACTCAGCAGGTCAAGAGAATCACACATTTGAATTTTTACAGAAGTGGCTATAAAGCAAGAGGAAGATCTGGTGGAAGATGGTGACAACAACAGCACAGCACCTGAAGAAATGGGTCAGCCAGGAGATGAAGGAGCAACACTGGAGGAATCTACGACAAGCAGCCTACACAATGGACAAGATGGGTCTGGACCAAATGGACCATCAGAAGCCGGGATTCGACAACAAAATGGTATGCATTATTTCTAAATGTAATAAAAGCATTTGAATATACGGATGTGTGATATGATTCAGATGTTTTCATAAAATATTTCAGGTTTCGGCAGGAGATTTTGTAGTTAACTTGTGACAGTGAGTCATATGCCTTTTCTTTTATATATTTTTTTTGTTTCTCGATAGTGGGTGGAGTTTTCTTTCTTCTTTTTGTCTGAACACAACAGTTTTGCTTTGAAATGATTAGCAAGGAAAAAAAAAATCCTTGGAATCTTCCGTAACCTGTTTCCAACTGACGCCATGACTCCTCCGGTTGTCATCGCACTTAAATGAGATTTCTCTTTTTCCAACTGGCTTCAGATCAAAAGATTTACACAGCAATATATTGACCACTTTGTCAAAAACATGTGCAACATTTACCCTGTTGAAAGCAAAAATAGGCATTTTTGAAAACTAAAACATGTTGATGACAAATTTCTGAATGAATCAAAACAAAGTGCTTTTTGTGTTTGTAATGAGTCGGTTAACACCAGCTTATGGCTGCCTTTATATTGTCAACTCCTTCGTTAGATATTGCGCTAATGCATGGTTTGAACAGTTCTTATCTCTATGGTTTTTGCTAGAGAAAATTTTTAAATATCAGAAGCAATTTCGGAAAAAAAACACATCAAACAGCAATGATGTTTAAATTTAAGGTATAAATTACAACATAATAAATGAGGAGAAGTTTAATCGGTAAATAAATAAGTGTTGAAATTCTGAATTAATGAACCAGGAAACCATTTTAATTTTGTTATTATCAGCTGGAAGTGTTTTTGTAGTGTTGCTGCTAACTTAGTTGCGGCAATATGTCAGTTGAGTTAAATTTACTTTATTCTGAAATTCTGATCCATGCACCCGATAAAAACTCTTAATAAGATTTGAGTGTTGGACTAGAGACCAGTCACATCTCTAGTCTTTAAACCACAAGTCCACTCTACTGTCTTTTATTTTCTTTCTTATGAAATCTTCTCAAAGATTTTAAGTATGATTAAAATTTGGGCTTTGAGTTATTGTAATAGATGGTCAGTCCAATAAAAATTATTCAATACAGTATTATAGTTAATCTAACTATAATGTAATATAAAACAATACAGCTACATGCTTAAAATACAGTTAGGAATTAAAATACAATTGTTAGAGAAGGCAATGTTGATATGAGCATTGGTTTATCTTAATCAATGTAACAAGAAATACTTTTGATTTAGTTCTATTCCATATTTTATCTGTCTTTTATATAGAAAAAATAAGCTTGTCAATATGTTACAGAAGATGAGGTGAGATTAATATTTCTAGTTTATTTACCCTGAAACATGTTGCTGAAAACACTATCTAATGCCACAGCAGTTGTTAATCTGCACATGTACTATTCAGTAGCGCGTAATTTTGAAGTGGAACAAAATTGACGCATAGTTTTCATCATTTTTCACCATTTAACATCTTACATCTGCAAGTTTTGGGGGGATTCGTTATCAGCAATGCACATCTACAGATAGAGCTTTTTGTCTATTATTGCAAAATCTCTAAAGATCACTCAGCACAGATGTAGAGCATTTGTGAACATCTCTTATCAGGTCTTCCCAGAGATTCTAAGTTTGATTTAAATCTGTGCTTTGAATGTGCTTTGATCAAAAGCACATTCATCCGTGTCGCTGGTTTTATGCTTACAGCCATTGCCCTGCTGGAAGACTGAAAGTCTCAAGTTCTTTACAGCTTGTAGCAGCTTTTCTCGCTGTCCCATCATGCATTTAGTTCGAGCCAGCTTCACGTCAACTCTGAACATTTTCAGTGGTCCCCCGAAGACAAGATTGCCCACAGCATGGTACTGCAGCATGGTTTTCAATGGAGGGGTGATGTGTTCAGGGTAGAGAATTAAGAGTGTAGTGTTAATTCTCTATTGTGATTAAATGACCAGTTTGGATGTAATCTTACCAGAACATCTTCTTCAACAAGTTATCTGTTTCCTCAACATGACTTGTGACAACTGTAAACTCTCTACAGTGGGTTTTTTTTTGCCACTGTTCTATAAAAGTCAGTTTTCTGACATATAAAGCTAATTATGACATGGAGATATAGCTATCATTAGCTATCCATAATGGTATTTGTCACTTCAGTCATATTCTATAGCCAGTGGGGTCAGTGAAGAGAGTTAAAACATTTACTTTTAATGTTCTGTAATTTCACAGGTCAAATGCATCCCCACATATTTTTCTCTTCATTTGGTTTTAGAAATCTTCAAGATTTTACTGGGAAATTAAATACGATGTCAAAGGAGCTGACAAAATGCTTAGCTTCTCAAATATAAAGAATAAAGCAGTTGCTAGTGGTAACGCATAGATAAAGTGAATTTTCAGCAGTTAGATGAGGTACATTATTTTATTTAAAGTAGAAAAGTGACCCTTGCTCTATTAATAATCTGCTAATAGTAAGTTTTGTACTAACTTCCTGTACCATCTTCCTTCAGGTGACAGGCCTTTCCAGTGCAACCAGTGTGGCGTATCGTTCACCCAGAAGGGGAACCTGCTGCGACACATTAAGCTGCACACAGGTGAAAAACCCTTCAAGTGCCCTTTCTGCAGCTATGCTTGCCGACGCCGTGATGCCCTCACTGGCCATCTTCGTACTCATGCTGGTAAGCTTTGTTCTCACCCAGCGTGCTTCTCTTTTTTAACCAAACCATGTCTGCTACCTAGAAGAGACTGTTGCTGTGTCGCCAGAAGTGCTATGAAGATAGACAAAAGAAGAAGTTGTAGTTTTATATTTAGAGAGACTAATGCTAATATTTCCCCCTATTTTTGGTCTTTGTTTATGTATAGTACAATCATTTTAGTGAGCATCAAGTTATTTGTCCCAGATTTTTTCAGAAAAAGAAAACATCTGGTTTATTTTGAATTTTTGTTTGCTTTCCTAACATATTCTTCTTATATATTTGTGTGACTTACAGGCATGTGCAGGTTAAAGACTTCTGTTTTTCATGTCCACATTATAGATGTTGTGAGTGTTTTGTGGTTAGGTTCCAAGGACATGCTGTTTCTCAGTTGCTTTTCTATAGACAGAGGAAACTGTTGAGAAACATATGTGGAGTGGTAGCAGTCTCTCTCAACTGTAACCCACTTTCCTATCAGAGGACGTGTTCTCCCCTCCATTGCGCCTTTGAAATCAAGGTCAGACAATACCGTCATTTCTGCCTGTGATGCCCGCACGGGGGTTACTCATACAAAGTCCTCCTTGTAGATGGAGGCAACATTTGTTTCTTTGTCTGTGCCAATACAAGTTTTTATATTTTTATTTTATATTTTGTTTAACTGTCCTGCAAAAGTATTCCCCTCTGAATTACCTCACTTTTTGGTTTAAAACCAACAAGAAAGTTTTTTTACTGGGAGTGTACACCACGACAAAGTTGCATATTTTTGTGATATTGAAAAAAAATTCTGAATTTTGCAAATATGAATCAAGACAGTGTTGATTGAATTTGAATTTGACTTCAATGAGTCAAAAATTACCTTTTGAAGCTATTACATTTTTGATAACTTACTCTTACTTGCCAAATAGCTCAGGCTCTCTCAGATTTGATGGAAAGCGTTTGTAAACACACATCTCAAGGCCTATACTTTGACTAAACTATTCATACACAAGAATATGCATTGGTCAAAACGATTGTATGTTCATGGTCATTGGTCTGCAGGAGGCTTAACCTCTACCCCAATTTCAATTCTGTTGCACCCCCTACATGATTCCCCCATATTTACCCCCTTGCTTCTTCCCCATCAACTCTTCTGGCTTTTTTTTTTTTTAACAATGTGCATGTTGTTTTTCTTTTGTATTGGCACTGCACTTCCACAAGGGAATATTCTGAGCGGTGGGATTTCTGCAGCTCTCTACCATGTGTCTCTTGGCTGCTTAACGCTTTCCATTGTCAGTCTGTCGGTCCAGGTGGAAGATCTGCTGTTTTGCTATGTTCTTTCCATTTTCGCCTGATGGATTCAACAGTGCACCATGAGATGTTAATGTCTTGAGATAATATTTTCTATCATAACACTACTTTAATTTCTCGGCAGCTTTATTCAAGATCAGTCAAATGTTTGGTGTTGATTAATTAACCTCTGGACCCATGAAAAAACAAAATTAATTCACACATATGTTGACTTATTAGTCGGAAACCTTAGTTTCTTGCTTTGCTCTGGATTTTATTTAGGATTTAGATTTTTTAATTTTATTTTAAATACTGCATATCTTCTTCCTACTGTAATAGTGTTGGTCATTCACGTAATATGCATTAAGATTTTTGGTTGTAGCATATAAGTTTACAAGGTATTACTCTTATATATCACCAGAGGTGTAATTGTAACAGTCTTCCCCCATATTTATCCTGCATCCTTTCTTTATCCAGGCTTAGTTTTAAAGGCTTGTAAAGGTGACAGCTCTGACTTGGTTCCCAGCCAGCAAGAACAGGTTTAGCCAAAACAAAAAAAAAAGAAGAAGAGGGAAAGCAAGAGAAAAACAGAGTAGTCAGTTGAGGAAAAAGTTAAGAGAGTGACATTCAGTGAAGCAGGGAAACTGAAGATTGAACAGGCTCTTACACTGGAAGATGGCTTTTTTCACTGTGAAAATGTCGTTGTGAGACAATAACAGAGAATACTGTATATTGAGAGGGAAGCAGTTTTTCATTAGCAACTACATACCCCAATTTCCTATGTATTAGTCAAATGCAATCTAGTAAGTCTTTGCTGAAAGCATTTGCATAAATAAGAACTCAGGTAAATGTGAGTTCTTCAGATCCTTCCATCATCTGCATGAGGTTGTGTGTGGGTGGTCATATAAATATGAGAAAAATGAACTCTGAAAATAAAGGATGAATAATGTGCAAAACTTTGACTTTTTTTTTAAATTGTGATACACACCAAAGAAAAGTATTCCTATGATAACCTTTAATGTTTGAAGTAGCTCATTATTTAAAGATATTAATACGGCAGTGACATTATGTGGTAAATTTCTGAGATTCTGTAGTTTGTAATGGTGTTGAATATGTTATGTTGCAGTGGGAATAGAAAAACAAAATGTGTGCTTATGTAACACTAACAATGATAGTTTGGTTTTGTCATTTTGTAACATGTGGGCTTTATGTTTATAAAAAAAAAAAAAAAACACCATCTAGACATTTATCTGGGAAAAACAGAAATATGATTTACTGTAAGAGTAATATGCAGTTCTTATTCACTTCCTTACTCATATTTTTATTTTAGTAAACACACCTTTCTGCTTAACATAAAAAGCTCCTATGACAATAGGTGAATCTGTCTCCAAGACGTGATGTGGTGTGTGTGCGTGCATGTGTGTGTGTGTGTGTGTTTGTGTGCGTGCGTGCACGCACATGTGTGTGTGTTACTGCCTTAGTGTCTCAGACTGAAACATGCTTGGTTTCTCTGTTCTCACAGTACTAGTTCACCCATACATCATTGTCTAGTAGTAGCTGTAAAAACTATACCTTGGAATGTCTGTTACAGCCAATCATAGTGTCTGGTTCTTAGTAGTAGAATTGTGTGGCCTCCACTTCACTCACTGACTCTCTTTATGAGTCAGTACCCTAATACAGGACATAGACCTATTGCCTCAGCAGTCTTCATCTTGATGAGATTCTGCTTTCTACTGTGTTTTTGTGCTGAGTTTCTAAGATGGATTTATAACGAAACATTTAAGCAAATGATCCATTTGCTTAAATGGATCATTTAAATGGATCAATGGATTTTTGAAATTTAAGCAAATGATCCATTTGTGAGCTTACTCACAAATGGATCAATGCCTATTTGGTTAAAAATATGTTGTGTTAAAACAATGTAGATTGGGTGGCTGAGAAAGATTTAAAGAATGTGTCCTCATCTTTCCATTTGAATGAACTGAATAAAACAAAACTGGTATAATGAATCACACTCCACCTCCGTAGCAGTTTAACTTGGAGTTACTTTCCTACCATCACGGGATGCATGATCAAGTCCGTTGTTTACTCATGCACTGCCACAGCAGTGGGAGTTTGCTTTGTGTGGCACAGACCAAAGTGTTTTGAAATAGACTACATGGTGCAACTACTGATGTCGCCCACAGCCTCTGTTTCAGTCTAGCAACAGTTGTGTGGAATCCTCACACTAGTAGTGGAACCTCCATGACCTCAGAAGATTACTTTTAGTTGGTTTGTACTACTAACATTGTATTACTATTACACATATCTATGTTGCTACAGCTCCAAACTTTACACTCTATGCAGCTGTAACTGAAACAAATATTTTCTCTATTGATTACCCATTACATTAGTTGGAAAACCACACAAGTGCAACTTCTGTGGACGGAGTTACAAACAACGGACATCCCTGGAGGAGCACAAAGAGCGTTGTCACAGTTACCTCAGCTTGGATCCTGGTGCCAGCACTGGCCCTTACACAGGTAAATGTTAGAGTTGCGCAGTGAAAAGAACGAATGACCGGAATTGATGGATGTTTGTTCTGATCTGGTGTCCAGTCTTTTTGAAACTGAAAAAGCTCATTTATATTTATAAAAAGTTTAATGCACCCTTTCTAAGCGCTATCTGCTTCAGTCAATTTTTGCTGAATGAAGAAAGCGTCATATTTTTGGAATCAGCGAGGTTTTTGAAAATGCAGTAAGAGGAAGCACAAAGATGTAGGAAGCTATTTACAATGATACTGTATTTTAACATGTCTTCCTGTTTGCAATTCATTCAGGCTGTGAGAGAGTGAGCAAGAGATAGACTTCTAATAAATAAGAAAGAGCTGAACAGAACTTACTAAAATGTTATTTATTATATTAGATGAAGCTTCCATCTTTTATATCTATGAATGAAATCCACATGAAATGTGCATTCGATCTTATATATGGAAGCTCATACATTTTCAAAAGCACATTGTGAATGTGAATTGCACCAGTCAAAAAAATGTATTGTGAATGTGTCCTTTGTAATACTAACTCTGAAAACCTAGTTAATTGATCATTTGATATGCTGAACTCCACGATAATTTTTGTCTGTTCCTTAAATTGTTAGAAAACCTGTTTTACATTAGCTTTTCTCACATAACAAAAGCTCTCATTATGACTAAAATGATTAAACGAGTGCCCACAGTCAGAAAAACAAAACAAAAAAACAAACAATTATATATATATATATATGAAGTGTAACTTACTGAAAAGTTTGTAAATGAAAACGAATGTAAATTATATTATGAATTATTATATCCACAAGTCAGATTTTTAAAAATAAAATTAGAAAAGTTGATGAAAAGAAAAGTTGTGTATTTTTGTCTAAATATTAAAATATTTTGTGACCTAGTTATTTCACACTTAAAACGTCCCTCTGTTTACTCTCTTCCCTCTGAAATTTTTAGGTGAAGTTCCAAAAGGGGGCATGGCTGAGGCCGGCAGTATGCCAGCCTTCGATCGGCCACCCGTCATTGAAAGACTGCCGACTAACGTTGGAAAGAGGAAGAGCACTACACCTCAAAAATTTGTGGGTGGGTATTTTGTATATAGGTCAGATATCAGCAGCTTGATTTGTGGTGCTTATTTTAGAGGAACTGTTTTATAAATGTCAACCTTTTGCATTTCATTAGCTGCTATCAACTTGCATGACAATATTTTTGTTCACTTCAAAATAAGTTTTATTCTTATTCACCTAATTTCACTTTTGGTAAACAAGGTAGTAACAGAATAATCTTGACATACATAAAGATATTTTTTCCCTCCCAGCTTTTGTGTCACATCATATCCTTATAACACACAGCAACTATGAGCCTATCTACATGAGAATGTTTTATTTTTTTCGTTTTCTCTTTATTTGCACCACTATTAGAGGAAGAGTTTGAGCAAGCTAGAGCAAGCAAAGGGCTCAAAGGCAAGGAAATGTTTTTCACTCTGTGGTTAGATACACCTGTAACTTATAACTTGGTTCTTATCAAGTGAAAACAGCTTACCGCATCCCTGTTGTGGAGGGGTTAAACAGTGCAATAGTTGAAGGATGGGGCTTTCCACCCCATTAGACGACAACATGTAGCACAAAATGTGAATAGCAGCATAACTCAGGTTTGATGGTCTAGAAAGGAAATATAAAACCATACTCAGATTTTTGCTAACTGTTTGGCTTTCCAGATTGCCATTTAAGGGAAAGCTTTCCCTTAATCTATGTTTTTTATTTTTCTGTATTTGTCAGTTATTGTTAAAGTAAATTTTAAGTTCTGTATTTATTTGCAGGAGAAAAGCTTCGCTACAGCTACCCTGATGCAGGCTATCATGAGATGCGCTTGAAATATGAAAATAATCCTGAATTGATACCACCCCACATGATGGACCAGGCTATCAACACCTTGACATACTTGGGATCAGATACCCTCCGTCCTATGCTCCACCATCCAGGTCCATCTGTATCTATGGCTGATGTTGTTCCCATTGTCAATCCCCTGTATCACCATGTTCTACCATTTAGCCAGCAACTAGAGCGTCCAGGAAATTGCGAAACACTTCCACCACATCCACCCCAATCCCAAGAGTTTCCCAGCCACCCCACTTCGAATGGCCCTACTTCCTTAACTCGGCAGAACAAACAACCTCAGGTATCACAGGAGGAATCAGCAAGCAACAGTGGCGTTGATTCGGCTGACTCGGCTCGAAGCAGCCCTCAGGAAAGGCAGGGGTACCTGAACTCCAGCGCAGCTGCAGGCCTCAGGTCCCGAGCAAGTCCAGCTGTGGGCTCTGGTGAGCGAGTTATTGATGCATCATCCAGGAGTGGGTCAGGAGTGGGAACAGGGATGATGCGTGTGGCAGCAGAGCGGCCAGTGGGCCATGAAGGGGTGCGGGTGTTCGCTCGAGACGGTCACGAGCTGCGAGCCTTTCAGTGTGAGCACTGTCGACTGCTCTTTCTGGACCACGTCATGTACACCATCCACATGGGTTGCCACGGCTACAGAGATCCCTTGGAGTGCAACATCTGTGGTCACCGAAGCAAAGACCGCTATGAGTTCTCTTCGCACATAGTTCGAGGGGAGCACACTTTCCATTAAAAGGGACAAAACGGAAGCAAGCGGAAAGCTTTGGGAATAAGACGAGCATTAACCTGCTTTCCATCTCTTCCCTGTGAAAGTGCAGAAGACAGTGTCACTTGTGGGCAAGTGTAGCACAATCAAAGACTACTTTTTAAGCTACTGGTTGTAAATTGGAGCACATGAAGGTATGGGCCAAAGACACATTTTGTACTTATTTAACTAACTCAGAACAAAGAAGTTGTTTTTTTTTTCCTATTTTCTAACCAATTAATTGTTTATGAGAGCAGCTGCCAGCTTTCTCCTGGTTTTTCATTTTAAATTTAAAATGGAATTATCTTTTTGTAGCTTTTGAGTTTTAATATTTGTCAGCTGCGAAACTCACAGTTACATAATCATGTACCATGAAGGCTCAATAAATGTAAGAAAAAATGGAAAGTAGCTTAGATCAATCTCACCAGTGCATTACTGAATTGACTGGAAATTTAGGATGAACAAAAAGAGAAATGTGTAATTTAATTAAATTAAGATGAGAGGAGACATGTCAATCCCACTGACAACACAATGGCCACACAATGTCAAAGTAGTTTTACAATCAAATACATTTTGGAAATGAAAATGTAATGTTTTCTAAATTATACAATAAATTTCAAAAGTATATTGTGTTATACATGTACATCAGTGTCAATCTGAATTAATTCATGGATCCTTTGGTAATTGGATGTGCTTCTTAGAGAATAATGACGAAAAACAATTTAAATATAGATTTTTTTTTTTTTGCAATTTTTTTGTTCAAAATATAGAAAAATGAGAGTTTTTTTTATATTTTATATTTTATTTGGTCTATAATAGATGGGGAGAAATTTAATTTACCTTTAAATTGAAAGCTTGACTATTCTTGTGGATATTTTTAATCATCCTATGCTGACATTGGGAGGTGCTATTCTCCTTTACATCTTAATATCAAGTTTTTATTTATTTTTAAACCTTCATGACCTCAAAAAACAGCTTGTATTTCAATTCAATATTTGCATTTTAAAACAAAGTTTTTTGTTTTTTTTTTCCCAATACTGGTTTGTGATGTGCAAATACAATTATCAATGCATTCATGGTCATCATTCCAAACTTGTAGTTTTATTTTTTTGACACATGCACTTACAAGATCAAGTCACAGAGCATGCTGAAAGGTAAACAGTACCCAAGATTGTTGCCTTATTGTTCATATTCATATCAAATCTCAGACGTATTCTTTATTGTAACATTCCAAGTACTCCATAAATACACATGAAAGTATTTGTTTCCCTTTTTGATTTCTGCAACTCTAGCACAGTGCTAGATTCACAAACATGACCAACTTTAAAGACTTAAGACTTATTTAAGTGTGGTGTTAGCCAAATTTTTATGTTATCAGGAGTATCTTTATTTCCAGCTTTTCAAAATAAAACTATTTCTTGTTTTGTTCATTCAGAAATTATACATTCTCGTTTATTCACTACGTGTGATAGGGTGCCTTGGAACAAGTTTACTGTTTAGACTTTACATTAATGTCTAAACATTTGACAACAGATATTTTAAGATCAAATTAAACTTAATATCAAATATTTAAAATATATAAATGTAACATGGCTTAATAATAAGCACATTGCAGCTTATTATATACAGGAAAATTACTTTTGAACATGCTAATAAATTAAATGCAAAGGCCACTTACCTATTTGCTTTTAAGAGAGGGACTTAAACCATTGTACAACAAAAATATATTTCACAGATAGACACCCTTTCTGATGTACCTCACTTTTTAATCTTTTTGGATTTAAACATGAAACCATATGAGAGATTCAATAAAATGTGTATTTTTGTTGCATAGTAGATACATGCAGATTGCACTGTTTGTCCTTTGCGCATTATCGCTATTGCAAAGAAACGGTTTACTGATGCTGAAGCTAAAGTGTTGCACTGCGTTGGTTTTCATCTGCGGTTTTATTAGACCTAACGTTCTCTAATGGGGCTGCTCTTTTATCTGCTCCTCTTCAACCCTCATCTCACGAACAAGCAAGAACACACTAGTTTCCTTCACTTTGAATCTTGCTTTGCTTACTTTCTATATGCCATTACAATAATGTATGACCTTTAACAGCAAAAATCAAGAAAGGAGCAGGATGAACTAGGGGATAAGTGAACAGAATGTGGTTTCCCTACGTACAATAGTACTAATCTAAAGAAACTTCCAGCATATCAACTTCATCATTTAAGAAATATGTAAATGATGTTAACTACCAACTTTTTACTGTAGTTCATTAAAGCACAGTAAATTTGGGCTAAAGAGGTGGTACTTTCATAACTTCTCAGCACTGTGCTCAGTACAGTAGATCATGGTCATGCACTTTATGTATCTGTCTAGGCAATGCTATTTTAATGCAGGCATAACAGAAAACAATCCTGTTTATTCTTAGAACAACCATGGAGCACCATAAAAAAGGCAAAACTTTGTTTTTTTCTGATCTTATGAATATGCTTGTTTTTTTTGTTTTGTTTTGTTTTTTATGTAAGAAGTTCCGCAAGATATAAGCATTATTTGTTTCATCCAACATTTTAAACAATCCTGTAGGTTTCCTGTATTCATAAATTCAAAAGGCAGCTTTTTTCTTGTACATGTTGCCTCTTAGCATAGGAACTCATGGTAAGGTTTTGGTATTGGAAATTGTTTACACCTTGCAGCTTTTATAGTAAATATTTTCATTATTTTGTCTATTTACCACTGTATATATTTAGTCAGGTTTCTGCAAATGTTTATGTTTTTAAAGGGGTTATTACGGGAAAAACAAGCTTTTGATGTATTGCTAATTGCATTTTCTTCATGATTCTAATCTCAACTTGTAGGTATAATACAACTCTACCTGTCTGTCTCATCCAAGTAGCCATATAAACAAAGCAAACGGAAAAGTCTTCTTTCACCCTCTGTGTAACTGAGGACTTTACTTGAAAATTCTAATCATTGCTTATGCTACATGTTGTGTTTTTTGTAAGTTTTGATGAAGAGCCTGGTAAATGTCTATTTTTCTGCTGAAATGTTAATACAAATAATTTTGTGAACTTTGTATGGTTTTGAAGTTTAACAAATGTTTACAAGATTGTACAAGGAGTGGTTCTGAGTGGATGATAATGATATTGGCACTGAATATAGAAGTTATTCAGGAACGTGTGCTGACTGATGAGTTTTCATATTGACAGACTTTCTAATGTAAGGGCTCTCAGGAATTTGAATAGGCGTTGTACTTTTTATGTAGTTTATTTATCAAGAAAGATACACAGAGATTTAAGTGTCTCTGATGCCTCTTAACACTCAAAGTGGTGAAGGAAATTGTTCAGCCCTGTATTTTCTTTCTATGCTCTTTTTTTTATCCGTATTGTCTTTATTTTTACTTTGCATCATTGACTATATGAAGACACACAGCTGTGAACATTGCAGTGTACATTTTAAGGCATGATTTCCCTGAATTAAAGAAACGGTTTTGCTGCTTCACTCGTGTTGTGAATTTTGAAAAAGATTACATTGTCTTGTTTTGTTCTACAGTTCATCAAATTTCCTCTTTTGAAGTTAAAATTTACATTTTAAGCTTTTTTTTTTTTTTTTGCATTGAAAAAAGAAAAAAGCATTTTGGGAAACGTGTATCTCCATAATTTCTGTTGATTTTTCTGAATGTAAATTTTTTGGTGATTGTGAATTCCAAGGTCTAAACAGGGACTAAATATAAGCTCATCTTATGTCCATTTTATATCATCCACTGGTTTTCAGAATACACATCCAACATGAAGTTATTATACTTTGCAAGTGGTGAAGTATTCTGTTTGATGTCGAAAGCTCAAAAATTGTTCTGAGGAGAGGATGTAAATTATTTCAGAGAATGCACCTCAGTCTCTATCCCCATTTTCCATAACCTTATTTATTTTATTATTTTGCATTCCATAAATAATATGCGCACAAGAGTTTGCATTTTAATTAAAAAAAATACAATAAAATGATAATAATAACAATAAAAATACATGTATAAATGCCTCCTCAAACATAAGATTTAACAAAGTGAAGCCCTGACTACTTATGTATTCACATATAACTTGAGTAAAATATCCTGTGACTGAAAAATGAATAAATGCTAATAGGCCTTAATTCAGTTATCAGTACATCCATAATGCAAAAATAATATATTATTTTACCTTCCTATATAGCTGTGCATAAGTTTGTAACTTACTAATTGCTTGAATTTATTAACTGCATTTGCTCTTTATGAGTTTATAGAGATTTATCCTGATTCATTTAGAATATTTGCATTGCTTGGAGAATTAAATTTAATAAAAACAAATTGGAATACATAGATATCTTCAGGTGCCCAATGTTTTCAAATTGACACATAGGAGCCAAGGTTTTTCATAGAGATTATTTATGAGAAAACCTGGGAGAGATGCTCAGCAACAGAGTCCAGGAAGCACTTTGAAAAATGTAGTTGGTTACCAATTGTTTTGTCTGACTCATCTGTAACATCTGAGTGTCAACTTAACATTATTGTTTCTTTTTTGTGTGTTTCCCAATGAACCCTTGCTTCTAAACCACATGCTTATAGCCAAATACTTAGATATACACCCAAAGTTTAGACCTCCAAAACCTGTGAGAGCTTTATAGCTCATTTCACGGTAAACCAGTCACCTTATCTACCAAGTTTATTTTGAAACAGTACCATAGTCAGAGTCAGCCGCTGATTAGATCCAAACTCAGTTGACGTCTGTTGAGTGTGTACACGCACACACACATGCAATGCTACAAACCACAGACATACAAGGAGGAAAAGAGCTGCAACATTTGTCAAAATGCTTAAATAACATAAAAGACTAATTCATAAAATCTGGTCAGTGGACTCTTATAAGTTGTGACTATTAATATATCATATCTTTACAATAAATATCTATGGATTTATAAATGTTACTTAAGTAACAATTTTTGTGTTCTTAGGGACCTTCTCTGGGTTTGAGGGGCTTAAGATTTTGTCTAGTTCTGCTTTGTCTTGGGCTTGTTCTAATTTTAAGGTATTTCTATTCTCGTGGATTCATGTCATTAAACACTTGATTCATTTGTCCTGTTACTAACTTGGCTCATAGTTGGCAATACAGAAGGAGACTCAAGCTACAGTACTAAAATGGGTGATTTGTTTAAATTATGCCAGGCCGACCCATAGGAACATTTCTAATGAACCAGTCATTGCCCTGCAAAGTTAAGCTTATTTTTGTAGAAAGTAATCTGCCTGTGATGTGCACCTAACAGACGTAACTTGTCATATCAATACTGATGAATAGAAATTTAAAACGTGCTGATTGCCCAGAAACATGAAGAAAAACGGCCTATGCTTGTATGGAGCTTTATCAAGTTCAGAGGATGTCGAAGCGCTTCATACTATATTCAGTCATTCACTTATTCACACACTAATTCTAGGAAGCTACATTGTGGCCAGAGCTGCCCTGGGGTTGTCTGACAGAAGACAAAAAAAACAAAACAAAACCCAAATATACAGTGACAATCTGAAAATGACCTAATAAGAGGAAATCGGATGTTAAAGTAGTTGCAAATGTTTCCATACGATCCATAAATGATCATTAGATCAATTGCTTCAATTTGGTTTAATATTTTTGCTACTGAAAAACAGCTAAGTTATTGTTCAAAGCCATACAAATCTGTTAAGAACATTTTGACATAAAAACAAAAACCATAATAAATGGCTTTGTAGCGACATGACTTAAAATTTTTAAGGTCTGGTCTTTTTTTTTTTTTATTACTTCTCGAAGTCCAGCAAGTACGTCACTCCCTATATGGTGGAGGATTGCCTCAGTTTACAATGTAATGGCAGGTGTTTGTTCCTCCTCAGTCTTTGTCTATGAACAGGTGGGCGCCAGAGCCTGCTGATGTTTCTAAATGTCAGAGCTGTCTCCTTCACCCCCTTGCTTCTTTAATCTATGTGGTGCACACACACACACACACACACACGCATGCACACATTCACCAGGCAAGAAACACACAAAATCAAAGCCGCCTGAAGGCGGTAGCAAAACCGAGAGGTGTAAAAGCCTAACCAGACCCCAAACTGTATCGTTTTATCTTTAGATTCCACTATTTACCTGCCTGTCAGTTGATTGTTTACTCCCATCTCGATCTTATCTCTGTTTGAGTCACACTTTCAGAACGGGAGTGATGCACCTGCCTGTGCAAATAATTTTATTTTGTGGAGGAATCAAAGATGAATATAACATCTGTGAATTGACACAGTTATTGAAACATTGTAACACTTTTTACAATAAAAGCTTTAAAGTTTGTTCATGAGAACTTCAATACTTTTGAAAAATGACAAATATTAAATAAAATACTTTAACAATGTATTTTGCCTTTAATTTTTTTTAATGTTTCCTACTACATATAGTAATAAAAACAAAAATAAGAACCCAAACTATAACATAAGGAATCAGAATTCCTTTTATTGTTGCTGAAAGAAAGTATAACAAAATTTATAAAATAGTAACTCTCAAGGGCAAGTCAAATAACTGAATAAAATAATAATAAATTAGCATATCTCAATAAATATTAAAAATATATAGTAGAAACAGCTCAATCATTTTATCCTACTGAAGTATGCTGGAACACATTGAACATTTTAGATAATGACATTTTGCCCAAACAATCACTAGGAACATAAAATTGGGAACATTATTAGAGATAAATAAATACATGATGGTGATGGGAACTTATAAGGCAGTCTTAGAAAACAGCAGAAGATTGGTTGGACAAGACTTCCTTCCTTGCCTTCTACTGGTCATGTTATTTTTTTACAGCTCCTCTTAGACAACAAAAGCCATGGAGGCAACAAACGCCACTGGAAACTACCGGCATCCACGCCTAGACACTTATAGTAGTTTCAAACTCACACCTCTCGAGTGACCAACAATCTAGGAACGTACAAAATGTAAACATAAGCCAAAGCCATTCTTGTGACATTTAAATACATTAAAAAAAAACGCATAAAGAGATGGTTTTTATCCTTTAGCAGCACAACCTTTTCTGAGGATTTTAAGGTAACAACGCAGCTCTAAATTCTTTTTTTTTTGTTCTCTCTCTCTCTCTCTCTCTTTCTCTTGTTCTCTTTTTCATTACGCGGTGTGAATCCTCTGCAGGGTTGCACAACTGCCTGATGATGAGTCCCATTCCTGTTTTTCCTGCCAGGTGGATGTTTGGGCAGGCCTTAAATCTGCACTCACACCAGTGAAGACATGTACGGAAATGCATACACACAAAATAACAGCCCATGATCCTAGTTAGTTTCTGTTACACACCCATATTTTAAGAAGTTAACGAAGCTCGTTTGAGCATGGTAGAAAATGATATCTTGTGCAGTAGCTTATTGCATCGGTTGTAATGTGAGTAACTGGGAAAACATGCATGAAGATTGCTCTAAGATATGTGCCACAACCCCAAGAGGTAAGACAATAGTTAGAGCAGATGCATTGAGATTACTTCTGTGTGATTTTTGTGATTATTTGCTGATGCAAAATAGCAGAATGATTAGAACATAATTCTAAATAAATATACTCTTGCAGAAGAGTAGAAATGTAACGCCCAAGTTAGAATTTTTGAGGCCAACATTTTTACACCTTGTGCAGGCAGCACATTACTGAGACTTGGTGTCTTGGTGCAAAGGTTTATGGGTAATGGTGGGCTGGTTTGTGGTCAAAGACCGAGGTCTATATGTTATGTGGGGAGGAAGGGAACTTCCACTTTTTTACCCGCTTTGTGCAGTCAAGTCTGGTGACATGGGGTGTGAGGTGCAAAAAAAAATTGACTACTTGAAAGAGGCTTTTCAGACAACTAAATAAAGTAAGAAGTAAAATTTAGCAGATACACTTCACTCTGTGAGAGTCAGACAAAAAGTAGAATGGGTAAAAAGGAGCACAGGCAGGAAGGAAGAGTTTGCAAAGTTAGCTCACAAAACATTGCAGAGCTTGCACTGTTTGCTTCTTGGGAAGTCAGACTGAGAGAGTGGGAAAGACATAGTGAGAAACAACAACAGAGAAACTGAGACAAAGAGGGATGAATCTGCATCTGACACAGGAAGATAGAAAATGTGACAGAAAGAGAGAAAGCTGGGGTTTATGTCGCAGCGCACACCTGCGGATCAGCCCGAACAGAAAGAAAACACACATTGGGATAGAAGATAGGGTACGAGGGCTGTCATGCAGCAGGCAGCCACAGGTTCACTGCAGGAGACTGGGATGTGAGGATTTGGTGGTTTGACATAAATGGATACACAGCTGCTAAGAGCTGAACTGAAAACAGGAAATAAACGTGAAGACAAAACTTGTATTTTTTCACACAAGAATAAAAGAGAAGGAAGTTTCATCAGGGCTAAATCCAGTCTAATTTTAATGTCAGACAACAGACAGAGAAGCACATGTTACCACTAAAATGTCCAAGAATAAATAAGCCTGGACAGTTTCTTTTTCTTAAGCATTTTCA